TGACTGATGAGACCTGAAAACAAGAAGAACAGTGAAACCCGTCAACTGATACGGACACTAGCGGGGGGGGAATGGGGGCAAAGAAAGTGTTCACATGGGGTTGAATTTAGACAAAAATGTAAGGGACAAAGTAAGCTCTCCCCAATAACGAGGTGTTCGTATTTAGCGTGTGTCCGCAAACCGCAAGCGGGGTTTGACTTTACGTGAAGTATTCCCTGCTATTTGGCTACAGATCACGGGCTGAGGGTGCGTGTAAAACATGCTAGAAGGTCCAACCGGTGGTTGGAAAGTCTGAGGGTTCTATTGTGCTTGGATTTTTTTGGAGCATAATACTTGAATAGCTCAATGCACTCTACAGCATAACCTCCGTTTTTTTTTTTGTAAATAAGTGCTTCTTATCCCGCTTGTTTTCGTACAAAATACTTAAAGTGTTGCTGTTTTGCTACCTAAGGCTAGTATTTATTCAGGCCGTAGCTCAATCTTAACGTCGCGGTATTATAGGTCAAACATCGCACCCAAAAAACTCTGCTCTTGCAAAATGTTATCTTGATTTAGTTGTATTATATTAGACTGTGCAGAGCTGCCCCTCGGCACTTCATATCTCTCTCTCTAAAAAAAAAACCAAAAAAAAACCTACGGAGTCCGACACTTATGAATTTTACGGGTACTTCCCATGGCCCCTTCAGTGTCCTTATTGAATGGGTTTGACCGTTTTAGTCGTTCAATTAGGTCTGTCATTAGTAATAGTCGCAGAAACATTAATTATACTGATTCTAATCTGTTCTCTGATCTCACCCACAGGAGTATAGAGAGTTGAAGACAGGTGAGAAGCTGGACATTTTGCTATTAAGATGGACGATACTACAACTTAATTGAATACTAGCAAATCAGTACTGTAAACAGTTAGGAACAGAGGCCCTTCCTCTTCCCGACCTATTCAGCTTGGTTTCAGTGGTTTTGTTAATCATCGTACTTCAGAAGAGGATGGCCTGAGGAAGATCCAGAGGTACCCAACGCTTACGGCTTCCTCCCAAATTCATTACTTAAAAGTTTTTAGGCTGATCCAAAGTATTTTTAGACCTCTGAAAATGTATTCCAAGCGGCGCTATAAAATTTGTGTCTGTTTGGTCATCCTAGGGGAACTTGAGTCTTTTCGATATTACAACGGCTTCGTTATTATTTTCCCTGAAATTTTAGATGCAATTTAGCGCATTACGAAAGAGAAAATTCTTTTGATTTCCCTCTAGCTAGAACGATCTCCATCACATTTTTGAATCCAAGAATTTTAGGTTCTCTTTTTCCTACAAAAAATAGCCTAACCTGGGGTGTGAAATGTGAAGATTTAAACTTCAGAAAATCGTAGGTAATTTATTAGTTAACTTCGAAAATTATACATGGGTGGAACAGTCATATATAAATTTTGAGCCTTCCTCGAGCTATAAAAAATTCTAGGCAAAATTTGCTTCTCCGAAGAGATGTTTCACAGAAAACGGTCGTTGAGTGCCTCTGAAGATCGAAGGGCCTCTGCTCTGCTCATCAGTTACCAGTAGGCGATACAATGAACACTTAATTAATGACTGGTCCCTTGGGAAACAGTTAATTTTGTTTCCTGAAAATCTCAAAGTTTCCCGAGGCGGAGCGCTTACCATTTGTATGAAAAACCCGGAAATTCCGGAGAGAATTCAAATGAATTGAACGGTTCATCCAGGTGGAAATTTTGCTGGAAAAAAGTAATACCTTTCGAGGTATTACCGTTTTCCCGATTTTACCGAAACGACCGAAATTTTCTCCATTATTTGTTTGGATTACTAGTGCCAGGCATTTCGAGATAAAGCGAAAAATTTACCTGTATTTTGTAAATGGTACAACTCAATCCCGTCCCTGTTTTCGGTGTGGAAAAAATACCAGTACCATTTGACGGAAATTTTTCACCGAAATTTCCGTACAAATGGTAAGCGCTCATATAGATTCGAGAGAAACAAAATTAACTGTATCCTGAGGAACCAGTCCTTAAGTGATTTGAACATTATGTAACTAGAGATTGTTTGCATTGTATTATTACATTCGTGTTGAGAAGGGGATACTCAAGCCTTAATTTAAGTAATAGTAATAGCAGGGGCTATAGTATTTTCTAGTAATAATAAAAATAGACTGTAAAATAGATTTCTTACTTTTACCAAAAATTGATTTGTGCAAAAACATCGCCGTTTTACTCAGCTTTTCTCCTCAATTAGCCCAAGAGTATGAAAGCGGCGACCAAAGCGTAGTTGGGCATTGTCAGTGCAAGGGTGAATATCTCGAGACACATGGCTTTGGTACTGGTACATGGTTCTACTTTAAAAAATGTAAAGAAGGATGGTACGACTGCAGACCCGATTCAGTTAGTATCGGAATTACAACTTGCTGCAAAGAGAATTCGAAGAAGGAAACAACTCCCGATCCCACTGAATTCATGATTGGGGATAATTATTAACCTTTAATCTTTGACAGTTTTGACGAATTCTATGCTGTACATAACATATAAGCGGTGAAAGTTCTCGACTTTCTGGCTGTAAGAATTTTGGGATAACGCAGACGTCTCTGTTCCGAAACGTCCCCAGAAAAGGGTAGCGACGAGGGGGCATCTTGTACATATTTTATCTTTGTGACCTTTTGTCTTTTGTAACGATTGTCATGTGTAAACAACAGATGAAAGAGGATAGTTGCTATGTCAACCAATCAGCGTTCGCGTCCAGATTCTGCACTGATTTACGTCATCAATATGGAATTTTTGGACCATAACCAAGAGACTATAAAGGGGACAGAGAGGGCATCCCCAATATACACCCTATTCCATAGGTAATTCGTCTCGAGGTATTTTTAGAATCGGGATAAAGTTACCTCGCGCGAGGCGTGGATGTTTCGTGGAGGTTTCGCATGACCAAACGCCGTGCAAAACATGTCGGGCGAGAGGCAATGAAAGCGTAAAAAGATCGAGAGCATTCCTGAATATTGAAGCGAAATGAGTCGGCGCTCACCTGGGAAAAATGAATCGCTGGTCTCTTTGACAACCCGTGAAATCAGTTTAACTCGAAGTTGTCGTAACCTCAGTGCTTTAATAAAATGAGAAATTTCGCCGGTCTATTGAAACCGATCGTTTGTACAATTTAGGGAGTTTAAGATCCAACAACGCGGACGACAACTAGAACGTCAAAAAAACAATAGGTTTAATTAGCAAAACAACAACTTCGCACGTGCAACACACTTTTTTGTTCATTTCTTTCCCGTTTTTGCACGACTACGACGTGAAAATGCCTAATTTCGCGTTTTATGGAGGACGTAAATAAGCAACGACGAAATTTTATTTCTCTTTCTGAGCTTGAATATGGTCCCTTGAAATTCAGCTTTAGGAGGGTTCGCCTACAATTGACAAAGTAAGTGGGTAGGAATAATCGCTATAAAGACTGAAAAAAATAAACATCAAACCAGAAATTGCTCTCTTCAAACTGTAAATTATAAATGATCCTGAGAGAATATTCAGTATGTTAAGGATTTCCCTGCTCTACTGTAAGCTCTATACAAGAGAGGAAGGGCGATTCTTTTTTAATTTCGGTTTCGCTGACACAGCTTTCGCAGAAATCTCGCTGTAGTCGTTTTCGTCGACAAAAGGAATAGCAAAATCGCTCTCCGCGTCTTCCCCCATTTTGTTCTGCGTCATTTCGTGAAGGACGCGTGGCTCTCAGCGTGGGTCATCCACGCGGAACACATTCGCGCTATGTGATTGGCTGTTGTCTAATCCCCCTTGAGATCTGTGGTGTTAAAAATAACTCGAGACGAATTACCTATGGAATAGGGTGTATATGGGGGATGCCCTCTCTGTCCCCTTTATAGTCTCTTGACCGTAAGGGATTCACAGAAACGTCCGCAGGTGGCGGTTTAAATCCGGCTCAGGCCGTTTTCAAGGTGGCGTGACTGAGAAGCACCTCTATGCTTGCCAGCTTGCTCCTGTGTTGCGTGGTTAGTGAAAACTAGGCTTTAATCCTTTTTAAATTCCTGTTAAGCCAAGTCTATGTGGTCGAAACTCTGAATCAAACGGTATTTTGTCCAAGTGCTGTTAAAAGGACAAAGAAAAGCCAAATAAAGATCCATATGATTGGCAGTTATGTTTTGACTGTTATTAAGCCCTATTTTTTTTATCGCGGTAAGTTTAAGGTTTATATGATTTAAAGCTCATTTAGATTCTAAATGTTAAATTAACTGAGATCGACGTGTGATTCCTTCGTGCCGTTTAAGGTACATTTTCGACGGTTATTTAAGTCGCGTTTATGTACTGGCACGGTGCACAGGCCGCGTAGCAGTGAGTAGAATATTTAAGGCGGGACAGGCGTTTTGAAAATGATTGATGAGTGGTTTGTTCTGTCAAGCTTGTTAAAACTACGTCTTCGGTAACTTTTTGAAGCCATTTTTAGCTTAGCTTGCATGGATTATGACACCTGAGCGATCACTTTATTGGTGTTTCGGAGCACGAGAATTGCTAGTTTTCAGCTTAATAGAAAGGACATAGCAAGCATCTCTTTGCGAGTTCTTCGAGAAAGTTTCGAAAAGTTGGGACGAGAGCAAAAAGAGGAATTTGGGGAGGGGGTGGAGAGAAAAGAAGGTGGAGCATGTTTTAAAGAGATCAAAGTAAATTTTGCGAATGTTGACAAGCGTCGATTTTCAAATAAACCGAACCGTGAAATATCAAGAGGCGTTTTGCAGAATCGTGGGGTTTGCGGGCTAGCATTTCCCCTTCTCCCCTTCCCTCCCCTCTTCTTCTTCTTCTTCTTCTTTCTCTTGTGTTCTGTAATGTGATATGAAACAGTAGATCTATTTGGCGTACATGAAAGAATAACCTACGTATCCGGACAGCCAAAACGCAGGCTCATACAAGGGCAGCGGAAGAATCGTTGCAGTAACGGTAGGTACTTCATGTATGGGGACGTATATTGTACCCCTTTTACCTAATAACTTAAAATTGTAAGCTCGGTTCCCAAGCTTTTCAACATGGCGGTTTATTCGTCGTTATACATGTAAACTGGTGTTTCATTGATTCAAAAAGATCAACAAATGTGGTTTCAAACGTTAAAAACAAGGCATTTGGTGCGCAGTTTCTCCACGGATAACAACCAAGGTTTAGTTGCAGGGCTAGAGTATACAGACAAGAAGTCCGAAGTCCATGCTTTGAAAGTGCGTACTTAGTAAACTTGGTTCTTGAGTATAAAGCTTGCATTTACTTTGAAGTATTTGGGAAAGAATTTATCCTTATCTTCTCTGTCGTTACTCCACATAAATTTAGAGAGAAATACCCCCTTTGTTGCTGGAGGAAGGAGTAAACACTGCATTTGTAACACACGAAAATGGTGGGATGTCATTGTTGGGAATCTGTCAGTCTGGAAAAGGAAAGTCTTGTGTGGAAATTAGGGCATGGGATGTAATGAGCTCACTTGGCTTCACCGCTAAAGAAATAACAGTACAGGATATTCAAAAGAACTCTATAAATGATGGCAAGTTTAAGTAAGTACACATAACAACAAGTGTAGACTCTTGTTTGTTGTGTTTTAAATGGATAATCCCAAGTGCAGTAATGTACCCCCCCGCCTCCGTCCGTTCGGAGTAAGTTATTATGAAAACTGAGGATTTCTTTAGGGATAGAGTAAACAAATAAAAAAATTAGGAATTCTTTGAGGTTGAAGCTTTAATTTGCATGAAATTCTTCAGAGGCTGAACTGTATTTTAGGAAAGTCTTGAGGGGTAAATGCAATTTTATTTAGTCATAGAGAGGGGGGAGGGGTACGGATGTAAAATGCATCACCCCATTCATTATGCCAATCACAGTAACATTAGTTGTTCAATTATTTGTGGTGTTTGGTAGAAACAAGGAAGAAGAAGAAGAAGCCATGTCCCTATTAGTATTTTACTATTGTGATTGTTTTAGTCGCCGTCCTAGTTTTAACACAGGTAACCCAGGCTCACTGTTTGTGTCACGTACATGTTTCATAACATGAGTAAATATAGACAATGTATGGGGCAAAGTTCAGGTCTGGAAATTTGCTAGAAAATGAAAATAAAAATCGATGAAGCCTACCATGTGGCGAGTTGTTGTTGTCCTTAATATGCACAGGAGGTTTCGGGAAAGGTAGTCCCCTTCATCTTTTCTACATAGTTTACACTTTTGTTATATTTTAATATCACTGTTCCAAGAGGAAGAAAAGCATATGCAGAAAAGGTGAAGGAGCTTGTTTTTCCTGAAACTTGCTGTGCATATTAAGGACAACAACAACTCGCCACATGGGAAGTTTCATTAATTTCTATTTCCATTTTCTAGCAAATTCCCAGACCTGAACTTGACCCCATACTGGTTCTCTAAATTTACTCATGTTATGAAACCCATGTGACACAAACAGTGAGCCTGGGTTACCTTGGGTTTTAACCCATATGTTTCAGTGTGTATTTGTTGCCATTTCACCTCTTACCTTGCTGTATCAAGGTCATATCGCTCCTTGGAATTTCACTCTAACAAGGCCTCTATTAAAGAGGAGTGCTTACTTGAGGGTGTTGTTCAATTACATGCATTTAGGTACACTGGACTATGCATCCCATCCAGAGCGGTACATACTATATAGTATTGTCTTTACAGTAATAGCAAAATTTATATTTTTCCTACAACTCTCTCAGTGACACCAACCATATGAGGTTCTCCTGTCCAAATATATGGGATTTTGTTGGAATTTGAATTTTATAAGAGTACTCAATGTAATAATTGTATGGAGAATAAATAAAACAAGCTCGAAATAAATAAATAGCAATAAAAATGACTCAACTTGAGTTTGTGTTTTACTGTCTGTTTTACTTCTAGAGCCATTTCGAAGCCATTTTATTGAGGTTTAATTTGTCTATTTTCCATACAGTCTCTTATAAAATTCAAATTCCAATGAACTCCCATATAGATTCTGGGATGGCTGTGCTATTTTCTGTTTTAATTTATGTTACATACAGTATCTGTACCTTTTTTTTGGAAAAGGTTTTCAGTTATTTTTGTTCTTGTTAATAGGGCTGTTGTGAATCTTCCAGAGACTTTAGGGACACACTTTTCTTTAAAGATCACAGCTCTTAGGGAGTACCTATCTGTTGCCATCTCATCAGGATTAATTATTATTTGGAAGTGCAGAAAGGTACTTAGTGGCGTTAGTTATAAATTTTTGTGTGGGAGAAAGTACTGCTTTTGAACAATGCTAAATACTATAAAAATTGTGTGGATTTTTTTACGGCAAATTGAGGGGAGTAAAACATGAATTGTGTAGGATTGCACAATGTTTCTCAAACAAAAAAGGCTTCTTGAATTATACATAATATTAACTCATGCCAGTTTTTGAAAAAGATGCAATTTCTGGTGTTTTTCTTGGCAGCAATAAAAAAATTAATAATGAAACAAGAAATGATTAAATAATGAAACAGTATTGAGGATGTAAAAGCATTAATTTTGTTACAGAAGCTACCTGACAAGCAAAACAAAAAGTGTTTTCAAAAAGAAAAAGGACTTGAAAGGCACCCTAAAGTTTCATAAAATCTTGGTTATCAACAGTAAAATATTCATTTCTACAAACTCTAAAGCTCTCTTAGTCACTCAGTATTGTACAGTTATTGTAGGAATTGTGCAGGCTAGATCTAATTATCTTTTTGTTCACAGGTAGAAAATGTCTCAATCAGTCTTGAATTAATATCTGTAATAAAAGCTACCATGACCATCCAAGACATTACACTCATATGGGATGAAAATATGCCAAAGAAAGGTAATTTCAAGTGTCATTACAAACAGATTGTTCTGTCAAATGTTGGGTATTATAATGTTACATCTTCTTGTAGGCTATCATGTATATTGCATTTGCATTGTGATCAATTTTGATCTGTACACCTTGCCAACAAGCCAGGGGTTATATTGGATTGGGGTGGGGGAGTAACAGGGGGTACTCCCCAATGACATGTCACATGGGTGCTTGTGGCAGCTTTTAGGGATTTGAATTTTTCAAATGATAGCAAAAGATGCTGGGACATTGTTAAGCCATCAAGCTTTGGTCACCTCTTAGGGGTTAAAATGAGTCAGTCTGAGCCATGCCCACAAAGCAAGATTCTGTTTATTTACAAAGAGCTTTTAGAGACAAGTACCCCACATTTTTATGTGGGAGTACCCCACACCAGGGGTGCAGGTATTCCTTCAACCAGAATAGAACTGGCTGCAGATCTCTAACAACTCTTTTCATGTGCATGTAAGCTAAAATCATGATTGCCAAACTGACTTTGTCATAATTTCACTGCAGGTTACCCATCGTTAGTGGTGGGTGAATCAGGAGGCATCAAAGTTTACAATGCACCCCAACAGACAGGTATGTTGTTAAGACACAAGATGTTCTTAATTAATAGTCAGGTTGAGCACCCGCACAGTGTAGCTAAGTGATCTGCAATCTCTTCCTTTCTTTTATACTCAGCTGCCTCTTTGCATCTCCTGTTTCAGATGTGACTTCTGAAGATGGGGATTTGAAGTTTGTTGCTACCCATATTTCTTTTCCTCCTTCTGGCAATGGAAACACAGTGCAAGGTACATGTATGTAGAAAATTGGTGCAGTGTTTAACTGCGATTTTCACAAACATACAAACTCTAAAGTTCAAAAGCCGCCTTCACAATTGGTGCCGCCAGTCATAAGTATGATCACAAGCAACAAACTTTGAAACACAGAAACACACAAAATGGATCAAAATCCACCAGGCACCAATCACAAACCATGACCTTTTAAACCCATTGAAGTAAAGTTTTGTTCCCTAAGAGGTCCGAAAAAAGCAATCATCAGTTGGCTTTCGAACTTGAAAAGTGCAGTAATTTGTTCCAAAATATATCTTTTACATTGACGCTACTGAACCAACTTTTGCACTTCATGTTCCTTTTCAATTTCCCATAAAACAGTTTGGATGTATTAGAGATTACTCCCGCCCCCCTGAAAATAACTGTTGTTAACAACAGGTAACTGGGTAGGGTGATGATGACATTACAGTAACTACTTTTGGGCTAAATTGCATACTCGCAGGCATTTGCAGTAAAACTGTATCTTAACTTTAATTATCATTAATTATTCTAATCATTCCTGCAGATATCAGGTGTGCTTCAGCCAGCAGTTGTATCGTGTCTGATTGTTCGGGTAGACTATGGTTCCTTCATCCACCGCATCTCAAAGAGATTGTGCTTCCTAGCTCTCGAGGGGGTCATGGGGTGTTTGCTGTTCAGCCAAAACATGGCCAAACAGAAGGTAGGATTACTTACAGTATAGACTGTTTTTATTTGTCTTTGCTTTTTTTCTGGTACAGTTTCTGCTTTAATTTGTTTAAATTAACAAATCTTACTGACCAGTCTGACAAGGTCTCCGTTTGAAAAAACAAAAACGAAATTGTTTTTAACCTATTAATCTATTCATGAGGTTATAGCGAGCACTCCAAGTCAGTTGGTAGTGTGTTGTGAACTTTCATTGTATGCAAATGAGTCCCGAGCATACAGTTTATTTTCGGCAATGGTTTAAATGATAGGCCATTTTGATATGACTCATCACCAGTCAACTCAGTCACCTATTTCTATTAAAAAGAGAGGTGCGGTCAAGGGAATTGCAAGGGATGCATGATGATTCTTTGAATAAGGACCTACATCACACCCACAACTGATTCTTCACTATGAGTTAACTGTTGGCTCATAGTGAATAATCAGTTGTGGGTTAGATTTAGGTCCTTAGGAATCAAACAATTTCCTTCAAGCTCATCAAGCACACTCTCCCATAATTACTTAATTTTGTTTTGCTGTCATTGAGGAGTAAGGATTTAGTGGTTGTGATGTTGGTAAAATCGCTTCCTAATTTGCATGTGAGTGATGTGACCATGCATGCAAACTACATGCCCATCATTCAACACAATCCATGATCCATCCAATGAGTACAATACACCACCAGAGACCAAAAATGGAACCTTTTCAAAATGTTTTCAAAAGCAGCACCCCCACCCCCCCAAAGAATATACATATATAAAAATAAAGATAAAAATAAACCAAAAACAAACAACAACAGCTACTTCGGCTGTCTTTCTTTGTGTTTGGACAAAGGAGTACGAGATATTCAAACCAAACCATTGATGCCATAACAGCCACATTCTTTAACCCCCCCTCCCCCCACTTGAGGTTGAGGTAATTATTAATACAAATATATAATAATTAATACATATGATTTGGGATCAAATTTTGAATTTAAGTGCCGATGGCAAATTTGTGATACTAACATGTCAGAAGTGACAAAAACAACAATGTTTTTACCGGTGTAACAGTTCATTTACATTATCAAGATCAGTGGGTTTTTTAATATACCGGTATTTGTTTCTCTTCTTTAGGATGGCTTGCCCTGGTCGATCAAGGCCAGACAATCAATCTGTACAAACTGACAAACGTTCTCAAGAGTTGTGAATCAGGGTTAGTCGCACAGCCATGGCATACTTTTCTCTCTCAACATCCCATCACTACTCTATCATTTCTTGAAGATAATGTTCTTGCTGGATCATCAAGCTCTGTTAAATCCATTTCCTTATGGGTTGGTATTGACAACATAGGATCCGGTCGAGTGGAAAGCAGCTGATTGCTCTTGTCATCTGGTCGTGGTTAACAGTACTGGAATGTATCTTGAGTGTCAAGTATGGATGATAAGAATCTTGCGAGATTAGAAGATTATAGCAGCATCAGTCGAAAAAGATGAAAAGTAAAAGAAATCAGACATGTTTTAAACACTGCAAAGAAAAAAGGGAGGGACTTGCTTGGATAAGTTGTTGTCAATCAGAAGTAAAGTTCTTGGTGTGTAGAAGATAATCCTTTCAAGGAAATTTTAATCAGTGTTTAAAAACTGATGAACGTCAACATGACGACTTCCACAATGGCAGATATCTGTTTTCAGATTAGCTTCGTATGGAAAAAGTTGAGCCATCTGAAGTATTGTAGCAGTCATAATTAACTCTATGCCCTAAAGCTCATACCTGCTTAATTCAGGATCACTGGTACCATATATGATTTCTAAGAGAAAACTCACGTTTGCTTACCGAGGAGTTAATGTTATAATAGAATGTAGTAACTAGTTAGTCCATTGCTAAGATGACAGGGAAACTTGGAGTTTGCCAGCTCAAACAAATCTATGTCTCCAAGGATGTCATTAAGAGCCGGGGTCGGGGATTTCCCCCAGTTACTTTCATAGGAAAATGAAAAAAAAAAAGAACCAAAAGAAAATCCCCCGCTGTTTGATTCCCCACCTACATTGTACTTGTTGTATTTATACCCGACAGCTGGAAATCTTAGTGGCAGCCCTGTTTCTCTTTTCTCCCATTTGATGGCCGGCATACCGAGGATGTAATCTCCTCACAAATGCAGGTTTATCACCTGTATTTAATGCTACATGCAAGTGCTGCAAAGCATGATACATGTAGGTAACAAACTTTGTTCTCATTGTTTTTCATTGGGAAAAATAACTCTGTGGACAAACCATTTCAGTCTATGGTAAAATAAACTGAGAAATTTAATTTACTCCAGTGACTGTTTGAGAAATTGACCCTTTAAGCCCCAATATCCCCATACAAATTCTCCAAACTGATCTCTATACATTTCCTTTAAGAATTTGTTAAGAGAATTTGATAAAAGATCAAAGTATTTCTCTTAGGTGATCATTTTATTAATTCTCATAACCTCATCTCATGACAATGTATGGATATCATTAGGAGAAAATTGCTGTTGGTCACTATTGGGACTTAAAAGGTTAAAAGGGATCCTTTCTTCCTTCTCTTAGCTACAGCCGCCTCTTGCAATCATCTGTTTAATTCAATGTCCATACAACCTTAACCCTTTGTATGCCTTGAAAAGGATCATTTTACTATACATGCACACTATAAACTTTATTTTATTTTGGGGTGGTTTTAATTAACAAAACCTGATGTACATGTGAATACTCAACTGTGAGAGAAATCAGTAGTCATTAACCAACTGTATCAACCTGGGTCTACCCTGCGAGCAGAATCTCTTTCGACCTTCCTAGAAAATATCAGATCGAAAGAGACTCTACTCGCAGGGTGACCCAGACCTGAAGGCTGTCACAGTAACAGATGACTAACAGATGTCCACTTCCAAATTTACACCTCTTATCTAATAAAATAATGCCCCCTCAACGCTTTTAAAGTTGTATTAGATGCCCCTCTCTAATAAATGCACCCTGTCTAATAAACATCCCCTATACATAACTTTTGTACTTCAATTAATAGTCTACTCATCAGTGTTCAACAGTTTGAAAACATTGCAATTTTTTTTTGTTCAGATTACCTTACAAAAATAATGTACTTTGTAATCAACTGAACCTGGTTACAGTTGTTGCATGTCATCCAAAGATAATCATTTTAATGTGTCAGCTTTCTGGCACACACAGAGTCATGTCAGGCAATTTTTTCCCACATTACATGTACCCTTCTTTCTCTAACTACAAAGTCAGCAGTCAGCTCACAGAGCATTGCACAAGATGTTCATAATCAATGTATCAAGTGAACTTGAGAGGGCATAATTATTATAATCATGCAAACTTTACTTCTAATGGGATTTCCAGTGATTGTCTGTCCTTGCAAGTGTATCACAAAGTTCTGCCACAGCTAAGAAGTTCTTTGTACAATAATATTACTGTTTTCAGAAAAGCACTTTCATTGACTCAGAGTGCACAAATCAGTGATTAACCATCTCCTGTCTTTCTGCCAGGCATTTTTGGTCCTGTTGGCTTAACCCAGCTGCTGCAGAGTGTAGTGTATTAATGAAAGTAGGAAGATCTGAAACATAATTAGAAAGTGAAAAGTATAAAACAGCAGCCTTTTTCAAAGATGAAAAACATGTACTTTAACTACAACTTTTTCAAAATCATAAAAGTAATTAATATCATTCCAAAGGAGAAACAAAGGAAATCAGGTACTATCATCATGACAGGTTTGGAAATCTGAGTAAAAACGCATCATTTGTGAAGTGATTTGATTAGGAACTTCTCATCAGTTATTTATCACAGCAGTGAAAAACACAAGACTCCTGAGGACAGGTCATTTAAACTGACAATTCCAGTTTGAGATAATTATATTATTTTTAGCTCTGTTGTTGATGACAGTTATGAAATGAAACCCAGACGTGTCTTACAGTCCTTTTTAATTTTAGTTTATATGTTTTGTTTTCCCATTTCAGACCATTCTGTCCAATGCTCTCCTAATGGACATTCTCGTAAGCGGACAGCTCTACTTATGGTCACCTTTATAAGACCCCGTTTTAATCAACCCCCAAACAAACTCTGTATTTTTCATTCTCACAAGCGGCCAGCTCCAGTTACGGAAAAACCCGGGTGTCTGCTTATGAGAGCTTCCACCATACCGTAAAATTCCGAAAATAAGCCCCCCAAACTTGTAACGTAAAAAACCCTGCGTTAAATTGCCCCTCCAAATATAAGCCCCCCCGGGGCTTGTACTTGGAAATTGCCCTCAAATACAAAGTAAAACAAAGCAAAAACGTTAAACTTCCTTCCAACTATAAGGCCAGCCTAATCAATTTTCAAACGCAAATTTCCCTCCATAGATAAGCCCCTCAAAAAGGGCCTTTGAAAAACATAAGCCCCGGGGCTTATTTTCTGAATTTTACGGTATATCAATAATTATGAATAATATTGATGTATGCATAATTAAGACCAAGAGAAAACCACGTGGTCTGAATTAGGATAACAAAAAAGACAAGCTAAAAGTCTTTTTATTACAGTAAATAAGAATCCTTCATTATCATTGTTTATAAAAATATCCCATTAAAATGCCGCCCGTGGAACCTCAGTAGGATAAGGAACACTGAATGATGAATGCATTACACTTACTTGAGCTTGTTAAAACGTTCATGCAGTACGATGGAAAGTTAGTCTTAGGATCATCAAAGTAAGACAGCACAAAGTCAAATCCATCCTAAGTTTACAAACAAATCAATACAAAGTAAATCTTCCAGTTAAGGTATTAGAACTGCTGTAAGGTCAAAAATTGACCATGCTTTTAAAATCGCTTATTTGAAATGCACTATTCACCTGAACACAAACTCCAAATATAGTACAATGGTCTTTGATCTTTCTTAAACATGCCTATGGCTAAAAAAACACCTTTTTTAGAGACACATTGGATATGGATATCAAAGTGATCCTTGCAAGGTTGATGACAGCTAAAGCCAAAGTAAAATGGCCTGTTATGCAAATAACTTCATTGGTAAGGCTACACACAAAGCATTGTTTACAAGTTCAAACAAACATTTTCACCTTAAGTTACAGGGCGGTGGTTATGTCAATTGTGTAAACTGACCCATAATGGAATTGTAATTGTACCGTTTTTGTCCAATTTAATATCACTTCCTTTTCAATTTTATGGTGTGAAAATTTACTGTGACTGTAGCCTATAAAAGTTTTCTTCTTCAATATGAAAAGATAGAGAAATATGGTTGAAAAAGACCCTCACCTCATCAAATGTTCTGTGCGGTAAAATAACCATTCTGGAATTATAACTTTGTACTCGCACATGATCACTATTTTCTGGACAAAGTGGGTGAGTAGTAGCCCTGAGAAGAAAAAATGCACCAAAAAATTGACTTGATGAAGTAAAGAAATACAAGGCAAGAGACCCACATGGCCCTGATGTAATATAAATTATTACTCTATACTGAACAGTAATGTGTATTTCACTGATACCCTTTGAAAATCCTGGATGAACAGCGGACACATTGAAGACTTACACTGCATGCCATAATGTAAAGGGCATGACTGTTATACACAAAGTTAGTATTGAGTCGAGGTGAATACAATGGGTGCCTCGAAAAGCCGGAAACCAGAATCGGGAATAGGAATGGGAAAAGGAGCAAGAACCAGAACTGGAACCGGAAACAGAGACGGAACAGGAACAATAATGTGAAGGGGAACCAATACAAGAACAAGGACATCATTAACCTTAATATATTTTAGTTTCAATTTAATTCTAATTCAATTTGTACAAAAAATAAGAAAACTAGCCTGGGATCATATGATTGACATGTTTGATTACTAACGTGCAGGTAATGCAGTCACTCAGCATTACTTGCAGCTCAATTAATTCTTAAAGTAAAGTGTACAAGTAGCTTCACTAAAACCAACAATCATGCCTTTTGCTAACAGGATGTGACCATACATGTATGTTCTTCTCAGTAATACTTTTCAACAGAGAACATAAATAAGGCAAACTTGCATGCAAACTGTACACCAAAACTATTATATATAATATTCTAATAATTAATTATCATTTGTACTGGTATAATATATTAATTTTCATAACCAACCTTGAAATAAGCACCATAGTCATGGACTGTTGATCAACCTGGTATAAGAATAAAAACAAGTTACACTGTAACTATAATTCTTCCCATTTAGACCCTTTATTGTCCTATCAATTTGGGGGCACCTACTATACACTGTACCTTATTCAATGCCCTTATTCATACAAAGGGAGTGTTAGCAACTGGTAAATAGAAGCAATAGAAGCATACAGCTGTAGTAAAATTCCTCAATGTATTTGAAATTGTATGTGTAATAAAAGCCCCAAGTTGCTTGCCTGTTACAATGACAACATGCCAGCCCAACGGGTTGACCCAGTAACCTGGCTTTATATCAGGGAGCAATTTTGTGGGACTCTGGTTTTCCCTGACAGAAATACATAACTGCAAGAATGATATCATTGTGGGGAAAACAAAAAATTAATAAACAAAATAGAAAAAAATTCAGTCACAAGGAAGTGACCTTGTACCTGTCCTCTTCTTACAAACACATAGTCTCTATTTCTTAGAGGGTACTAGGAAAAAAGGGGATATAAAATGAAAGAAATAAACAGTTAGGAAAAAAATGTAAGTATGTGTATTAGTACTCATACATGTTATTTACTATCGCTGTTTTTTATTTGTCTGTTATTTTAAAATAATTAAAAGTCTGTATACAGCAAAGTTGTACTTGTAAACTGGACACCCACACCATCATCACTAAGAAATAACTGTTTGGAAATTTAATACTGATACTATCCTCCATAATAATATTGATAAGGCATCTGATAGAATGCTGAAAAAAAAATACCAAAAAAGGTATGCTGCAATTATGCACTGATATTGCATGCAGGTGGTATCTAAAAAACAGTGGAATAATACTCAGCTCAGGGTCCGAAAATTTTATTGATGAGTGGAGTCAGTGCGACTTCTGCTTCACAAATTTTGGAGTCATTTTGGAATATTAAATTTTGGAGTCAAGTATCAGACTTTCCAGCACATGGTCCCAGCATGTATACACTATCGTGAGGGATACACAAAGTAGCTGTGGAGATCCGCTGACCTGGAAAGCTCAAATCCATGATGGCGGTCATCCGGTAAACTTTGATCATAATTTACCCTCTTTTCGTTTTATCGTGCAGTATAATTCTTTAATTTCGATGATTTAATTAAGGTTTACAATGTTTACAATAACGTTAACTGTATTTGTTGCGAAAAAGATAAGGACAAAATTGTGTTTGTTACCGAAAATTTCTGGAGTCGAAGTGGCTCCCTATTTGTTACCGAAAATCTTTGGAGTCGAAGTGACTCCCTCCGTAACATCAGTGATGTCATCTGAACGATTTTGGCGTAAAATACACCAAATTTGGCACATCTGCAAACCCTGTCAGCTGTATACTACACCTTGTGAGTGATTGTCTCTCTTCCTGCCTTGGCATAAGCAAACCTAAGTCGATTTTAAGGGCAGAATTTTAAAGCAATGTCGTAACAATTTGACAGAATGACCCAGAAGTGTTGCAACCCTGTGATGCACTTGAAATTGCCATAGCAAA